TTAGGAGGGCGTGGACAAGTCTTAACTTTTATAAAGAATGTCTCTTTGGATTTGAGACTTTAGTCTTTGCAACTTTACAGATCTTCTTTGTGCACCAAGACCTTGTAACACTCCGAAGAGAAAGGAAAAATTGAAATCGCATCATATGACCCCTTTAAAAGGCACCTATTATGCCCCTTTTTACAAGATGCAATATTGGTCTTGGGTATCCCCAGAATGTATCTGAAGTTTCAGCCCAAAATACCAAACAGATCATTTATTATTACAACTGGAAAATGTCATTTTTGGGGTGTGTCTAAAAAAAGAGCTGTTTTGGAGTGTATCGCTTTAAATGCAAATGAGCTGCATATTCCCGCCCCGTCTCCAGAAAAGGTTGTCGCGTATACATCTCTCTGCATTGCATATCTACAGCAATAAACAACCGGTAGAAGCAACATAACTGAGAGCGAGAGAAACGGTGTTTAGCCGTACATATGGGAAGCCAAATGCGGATCAATGAACCGAGTCGCACGACTGCGCTACCGAATGAATCTCGCGCTACAAAGGGCGCGAACTAATCTCAAAAGAGCGGCGCTGATCAGTTAAAAAATACTTAATGTACACACACAAATACGGTTAAAACGCTAAGCACTATAACGGCACAACATTCACAAAGGATTCTGGAGTGATACACGTATTTATGTAGATTTTGAGGCGCATTACCTTGAAAAATGAATGTAATCCACAGCGTCCTCAGCAGCTCAGATGTTGGGAGAAAATCTTACATCCAAGCACAGAGCATCGGGATTGCTTGCGAGACATTGTTGACATTACATCTGCTCGAGCGCGGAGAAAAAGGAGGACAGCATACAACCGCTGAGGACGGAAACTATAGCAATGCAGAGCTGTCAGTCAACCCCCGTGGCCCGGCCCTATACAATGTGGCATCACACTGCATGAGAATCAAAACGGCAGGCCTAGTGAGGCTAACTTGGTTTAAAGGGGATTAAAAAATGAGCAGTGGCTGGATTTTTATCATTGTAGGGTGGTTGTGTTCACACACTGCCAACACACATTTATGTCCAAACACCATGTAAAAGTGGATTTTGCATAATAGGTGCCCTTAAAATACTGAGGGTGCTTTAGAAAGTGTGCTCAATAGCCTCAATTCACATACATTTTCACGTATATTTTTGTCCCATCCATTGCTCTTTCGAGTCTGAATCCCGCATCCGCATATGGATGTCATTCACGAAACTTTGCAGCATGTATGTGGCAGAAAAATAAAAGTTCTATACAAATTCTTAATGGATTATAGGCTATATAGAAAGGACACAAAGAGCACTGCCTTAATTGTCACTAAAAAGCTGCCCCTCATCACCATCGCGATCTCATTAAGTTTTGTTATAATGAGAGGATTCGCGTGCTTTCACAAGACTAAGCACTGGACAAAAATAAACCTTTTGATTCTCTCCAGAGCACAAACACAAGTATGCACTGGATAGATTGTCAGATCAGTTTCAGCAAAATGATAGTGAATAAATAATATCTCGAGTTTTTAAGATCCCGAGCACCCACGGGATCGGCACCTATGTTCACAGCATCCAAACATCAAATTAGAAATGGCTGAAATGATTTGAAATCACTTGTACCCTACCTGATCGAAAAAAAAAAAAATCCAGTCTTTCACTCTGCCTGTGTCAGTTTGAGTCTTGCTAATGATTTGAATCCTTGCCGCCAAGATACTCCTCCATTGGTCACGGATCATGGAAAGTGAAACTTCAATCTGTCATAGGGGTGGTTGGATTTATTCACGCACGTTAAAAAATATTTATTAAAAGCTTATTTCTTTTCAGATTGTTATTGGCAACATTATCATAATAGGCTGTATATTAACTTATTGGGAGAAAAACAGTTGTTCTATGTGAAATCAGACATTGAGCACCCCCATATAGCCAAAATGGCATGATCATAACACCTCTGCGAATATTCGACTGTGAGATTGGTAGTCAAATCAGGCTCCTCCTATCGAAGCATCAAATATTCGACTATTCGGGGTCACCCCTAGATTCTAGTTATGCTGTTGTCCCTACCAACAGGTTCTTAGGTTAAATACAGTATCTAGCCTTTTTGGACAGTTTGCATCACCAGCATAACCCAGCCAATGGAAATTGCTGTTGGTCTGAGATGATCTATTTAACAGTTAAAAAAAAAAAATGTGCTTATCGGTACTGGCTCTGATTTGAAGTGTACCAGTATGAGATACTGTATGTGACATTTGAATGTGTTCACCAAATATCTTCACAAGGTGCAACATACAGTTAACTAACTGTAGGTAACTATTATGTATAATGTGAGTTCTTCTCAAACAATACCTTTGTCTCAAATTTCTACACTCAAAAGATGTCAGAGGTGTACAATCTTTATTTTTTTGAAAACCATTTCCATTGCCATTCCATGTTTTTAAATAACCCAATTTGCAATAATAATACCCAGTTAAACCCAGCACAGCCTTCCCGATACTGCTTCAAAATTGCTTGTATATTGATTGTTTCATATTGTTTGAGTCCCTCTTTCCTCAATGTCCTGCATGCTATAAAATAATCATTATGCCATTGTCTTTTGCCACTTCCTTTTCTCTCTGTCCTGAGGCCTTTTTAAAAGACAATCGTAACTCAACATATACTGTATATATATATATATATATAAACTTATGACTTATAACTTCATTTTCAAAAACATATTGAGCTGTTGATATTGCTATTGATATATGTCATCTATGGTGACCAGGAGGGGCCATGTTCGGTTCATCCTTATGTCGTAGCCATGCGATGTTAAGTCGTGGCCTCAAGATGCTATGTTGAGGGAACGACATCCATTTTTAGTGGCCACGACTTTTTATGTTGAGGAAACAAGTTTAATGCGTAAACAAACCCGCGTGACCATAAAACTTGGATTATTAGAAATGGATAAAACATTTTTTTTTTAATATATATATATTTGTTTAGTATTATTATTATTATTATTATTATTATTATTATTAACTTGTTAGGGCTATATTTTTATATTTTGTTGTTTTATATATGCTTATTTCCCCTTTCAATTTGTGTATTGCTTTACTTAAGTAATGTTCTGTATAATTATGCTAGTATTTGCTACCATATATTTTGCAAATCAGAATCAGAATCAGAATGAGCTTTATTGCCAGGTATGTTTACACATACGAGGAATTTGTTTTCGTGACAGAAGCTTCCACAGTGTAACAGAATGACAGTGACAGAACAAAAAAAACACAGATAATAAGAAATAAAAATAAATAAAAAATAGAACAAGTAAAATAAGGAATAAAAAATATACAAATCGACAATTGTATGTACAGGTACATAACAACAGAAAGTTGTATGTACAGGTATATTATGTGCAAATTGAAATGTAGACTGAGTTATTATTTACAGAACTATTCATAACGTTAAGTAAAGAGATCAAAATAAAGGGAAAAAAACAAATATAAAAATATAATCAATAATATAAGCTAATAATAATATTAATAACAATAAAATACAAATATTACTGGAAAAAGACGATCAGTCAATGGGCTTACAAGAGTGTGGGATGGATAAAAATGTTTTCTTGTAGGCCTATTTTATTTGATGTACTTTAACATTTATTCATGTTAAACCTTATTTGAATGCTGTCTACATCGCGCTCAATACAGTCCGGTAGCCAAGGCCTATGTTTAATATAATAATTGAATAATGTAATAATTTCTATAATAATTAATATAGAAATTATAAAAAGAATAATTCTTAATTCAAAATAAAATATTAATAAATCCATCTCTGATAATCTCGGGTTGCTATGGTCACACAGGTTTTACGCATTAACCTCGTGGCCACGAGAAAATTATGTTGTTCCCTCAACATAGCATCTCGAGGCCATGACTTAACTTCGCGTGGCGACAACATAAGGATGTTGTTTCCACTACAAAATGATCTCATGCCCATGACATACAGTATTATCACGTTCCCACAAGTTAATATGACGTTTCCACAAATTAATATCTTGTGGCCATGACATATTATCACATTCCCATGAGTTAATATGTCGTGGCCACGACAAAACTAAGTGAACCGAACACGTCCCCTCCCCTGTCACCGTAGTCATCCACAGGCAGCATCCTAAAAGGAATGGACCTTTATAAGTGACTGATATGAAACCTTCTATATTGGTGTGCACCAGACAAACAGCACTTCTCATGTGAAGCACATGAGTCTTGATCTACAGTTAGTTTTTAACTGAGTTTGAGGTTAGCATTCTGCTAAGCTAACAGCATAATACAGGCAAACCATATAGCCTATAGCACAATCAAATATTTGGCAATATTTAATTTAATTATGATGATTTTTAAAGAAAGAAATGTTAATATTTAAAATTTCTTGACTCGTGAAGGCTAAATGCAATGTTGCCTTTGAATTTGTCTAAAATGACGTATCTTATCCAGAAGTATAATCCCTTAAAATACTAGTAGACAGCTCCCTAGACAGTTTAAACCCAATTAAACCCTACTTTGTTTATTTATTTACATTAGATCTGAAACACAACATTTCAGGGAAAAAATATATTATCTTGTTGTTTAAAAAAGTGATGCATGACATATCTTTTTTTCATGGTAGCACATTATTTTTAGTGGTAGCAAGTCCAATTCTCACTATTAACTAGTTTATTAGCATGCATGTTAGTAGTATATCAGCTGTTTATTAGTACTTATAAAGCATATTTAATGCCTTATTCTGTATGACCATGTTCTAGATCTCTTAACCCGATCCCATATCTAAACTTAACTTACTGTAGGAGTTTATTAAGGGAAAACTCTTAGTTAATAGTCAATATGTGTTCCCTATTCTAAAGATATACTTTTTTTATTTCAAACAATATAGATTATTTATCAATGTAATATACAATAGATAAATGATCAATATCACACAGTAGCCGTGTGATATCGCTCTATGTCAGCATGGCTGTGATTCGGCCTGTTTCATAAAGAAGCATGATTTCTTTGTATTTTGTTTCTGTGTGAGTTTAGGAGATCAGTGATACTGAGATTATGGAGCTGGCCCACAGTTCCTTGGGAAGGATGACCGTCGTCAGGCAGATTTTCCCTCTTTGGAAGGATAGCAGTGTGAGCTGTATGAGGAACAACCACCGTATCTCTTCACTGCTCTGCGACCCTCAGGAGGGCTATCTGCAGTCGCTGGAGGTCAGTAACCATAGAAACAACATCATCATCAGGTTGCTGATGCATTATAGGAGATCAAATCCATATGCAGTCTCAAACCAACCTCTTAAAACAAGCAAAGTTAAGATCAGGGATTTTCAACCTTTAAAGACATGGGGACACAGACTTTTTGCTAAAACAGTGTTTGTTTTTTTACCTTTTATTGCTAATTTATTCATTTTTAACATGCCCTTATGCGGGGTTTCATCGTTTTAGTTTTAGTTAAAAGTGTTTTATAATGTGTAGAGTTTTTTTTTGTTTTGTTTGTTTGTTTTTTCACAATAGTTTGTTTTTATGCATTCTCTGAGATGCTGTTATTTATTTAATTAATTTTGAAAGAAGTTTCTTATGATCACCAAGGCTGCATTTATTCAATAAAACTACAGTAAAAATTGTAAAAATGTGAAATTATTTCTGTAATGGCAAAGCTGGTATTTCAGCAGGTATTACCATGGGTGTAGCTTGGGACTGAAAGATTTTACTAAATATTATGTGTGTGTGTGTGTGTGTGTGTGTCTGTGTCTGTGTCTGTGTGTGTGTGTGTGTGTGTGTGTGTGTGTGTGTGTGTGTGTGTGTATGTATG